CAACACCAATTAATTTTGCTTAAAATTTGGCTCTTCCTTTCCTTTTCAAAATATTTTTTTTTTTCTTTAAAAAAAAAAAAAGTAATAATTTCTATTGCTGTCAAATAGAAACTGGCTGAGAAGGGAGTGTAATGCAAGGCAGCAAGCACTACTGTAAACTTTTCTTGCATAGGTGTCTTTTGTCATAAGTGTAGCAAATCCTGCCTTGTCTCTTAAACAAGCTGCACAAAAGAATGTCTATTAAGGCATATTAAAATGCTTTTATGTTCCAACTAGCATTACAGATTTCAAGAATGCCATTTTAATATAAAATGCTGTGCTTTTAGATAGGGATCTTGTAAGTGCAATGATGCAGTATTACACAATCATAGGAGGTGGAAGGGACCTATGGAGATCGTCCAGTCCTACCCCTGGCTAAAGCAAGTTCCCTACAGTAGGTCACACAAGAAGACATCAAAGTGAGTCTTGAATACCTTTTGAAGAGACTCGACAGCCTCTCTGGGCAGCCTGTTCCAGTGCTCTGTTGCCCTCAAAGCGAAGAAGTTTTTTCTCATATTTGTATGGAACTTCCTGTGTTGCAGCTTTTGCCTGCTGATCCTGGTGTCCTGTCTCTGCACACCACTGAAAAGAGCCTGCTCTCATCCATTTGGCTCCTGTACTTTAGGTGTTTATGTGGTGAGATCCCCTCTCATCCTTCTCCTCCAGGCCGAACAGCCCCAGGTCTCTCAGCCTTTCCTTATAAGGGAGATGCTCCAGACCCCTCATCATCTTTGTAGTCCTCTGCTGGACTCTCTCAAAAAAATATCCTGTCTTCCTTGGACCGAGGAGCCCAGAACTGGACACGATACTCCAGATGTGGCCTCACCAGGGCAGAGTCGAGGGGAAGGATTACCTCCGTCTACCTGCTGGCCACGCTCTATTTAATAAAGCCCAGGATACCATTGGCCTTCTTGGCCACAAGGGCACACTGCTGGATCATGGCCACCTCGTTGTCCACCAGGACACTCAGGTCCTTCTCCTCAGAGCTCTTTAGTAACAATTAAACTCACCTGGTGTGATAGGCGGACTGAGCTCTGAGGTCAGCCTGGTCTTTGTACTGTCATTGCATGGATACATTAAGGTTCTGCTTTTGTGTTTTAGCAGTTTTGTTTTCTCACCCACTTGTTCTGTACACCTCTGCCAGCAAGCCAGAGCTCTAGTGCTGGACTGGCTTTGGACAGGTATGAGTGACTGCATTACATACAGAACTACTGAGAAGGGCGCTCAGTGTAAAGCAGTCAAAGTTGCTAACAGCAGTTTTTCCAATTTTGCTTACAATGAATTTTTTAGAACCAAATGGCTTTCTTCTCTCTGTAATCATATTTACAGAAGAATGGAGAGCGGCAGCCAAGACTAGCAATCATGTGATAACACAGCAGCTTTTATTTGCTACATCTGGAAACTTACCTTGCAAGCACAGTGCTCTTATCTGTGCTCAGGTGTTTAGCTATTGCTCTGCCTGTTCTCCTCAGAATCTGTTCCCATCTCTGCTCTTTGCAGTCACATCATCCCTGTTTGACTTGGCACTACGCTGGGACAGACTTGTGAAACTTCAAGGAGAGAGAGTTTGCTTTGTTTTGTCTTTAAGCTCATCACGAGCAAAGTATTACCACATGGCTCAGCTGCCTCACTTGATATGCTGGTCTTTTTGGGCTTTCTAGATTAATATTACATTTTTAGAAAGAAATTTAAGCAAGATGAAAAGATGTTTGTATTATGTGAGATTTCTTTTGCTTCTTGCTGTGTTTCTGAACTTAAAAGCATTGTAAGTATTGCCATTGCTTAAAGATGGAAAATAGCACTGATGTCAAAACGGGCAAATCAATTTCCTTAAAAAAAAAACCAACAAAACAAGATTGTCAGTTAATGCTTTTTTCACATGGCAGCACGCTCCATTTTAAATCACCACGTGTTAGTCAGTGCCACGCAATGATTGCCTTAACTAGTATTGAAGCTCCATAGCCCTGAGTTTTCCTTGGAGGTGGTGCATATCCATATCTGTATCAGCTACACTCATTGTATTCGAACCCAAGAAGCCTGGGCTCTTTTAGTAATTGAGATGCAGGGAAGGTAATTTAATAACACGCAGGAGAAAAAAAATGTGTGAATGGGCTGTGTCTTGAAAGCTGCAGCCCCACTGGAGGCGCTGAGCTGAGGCAGCACACTGACATTCCCTGACAGGCCTGACTTACCTGGGTGTTTCTTTATTCAGATGGGAGTTGGGTTTGACCAAATGGTAAAAGAGTTTAATCCTTTTCCAGTTTTGTGGTACAGCTGGAGAAAAACGCGGGAGATTGCTTAATTCTATGCATTATAAAAAAGAGAATGGGCATAATGTCTTTTATTAGTTTTGTTTTAGGGGAGAAGGGAGGGAGGTTCCTTTTGCATGAAAACACCATTTTTATATTGCAGATTTTTACTCTCCTGGGACATAACAGTTGGTACAGGTGTACCATGAAGGACTTTCACATGGGTCTCTGCCCTGAAAGGTTTTGTTTCAGGCACAGCTTTTGGTAGGAGCCCCAAGTAAACCAGTGCTTAGAATCAATCCGTCACACAACTGGTGGATGTGAGAGGGTAGAAGAGTGTGAGGCATGTGAGACATAGGAGGCAGTGGCACAGGCTGCCCAGAGAAGCTGTGGTGCCCCAATCCTGGAGGCACTCAAGGCCAGATCAGATGGGGCTCTGGGCAGCCTGAGCTGGTGGGGGGCAGCCCGGCCCATGGCAGGGAGCTGGAACTGAATGGGCTTTAAGATTCCTTCCAATCCAAACCGTGCTATGGTTCTATGGCTTGCTTAGCCCAAATCCCAGGGGAATGGCAGCAGACCCTGGCTGTCTTCGTGGCCTTGCGGTCCTGTCAGCAGTAGCTTTCTCTGCCCTGTCAAACAGGAGTAGACACAGCCACTGAATTTTGTTGCTGGTCCCAGGGAGGTCAGGCACACTGGGGACTCCCAGAGCTGCCTCTGGGCACACGAGGAGAGGGTGAGGATCTGCATGCCTTCACAGAGCAGCCAGGCCTGTGAGCCCTTGCCGTCCATGTGCTGAGATACCAGGAGGAGTGTGCCAGAAGCACTGCTGGCTTTCACACCAGGCTTTTTCATCGCCTCTAAAAGAGCGTTTGTTCCAGTATCTTGCAAGTTCTGGAGGTGACTGTTGTAAGCCTGTAATGCCCTCCTTCCCCCGGTGGTTTTGGTGGTTGAGTGTTTTTGTTTTCACCCAACACGAGAGCTATGCATCACGGGTAGGTACTGCCAAGTGAGCTGGAAGCGTGCCGCAAATCCTGATGCTGGAGGAGCGCTCTGCATCGGCATTCTCTCCTCCACCAGAGCCGGTTGTCACATTTAGCAGATCTCTTTAAGTAAACACTCGCTTTGTAAATGGCTGCAGTTCTCTATTTAATGGAATGCCAGCACTATGCTGGCAATAATTATAAAGGTAGGATGCAAGTGAATTGACAGGGGAGATAAAACAGATTAAACCTCCAGCGCATAATATTTATGCCTCAGCCTTCTGGGTACCATGATAACACAGGCAGTGGTACATATACTTCACACTTGTTTCTTTCACCACTCGGAGACTGTGAGTCCAATTGTTCTGTGAGTGACTTGGTTATCTCTTCATTTTCAGGGAATAAAAAAGGTCTGTGGAAGTTTATGTAGTGATAATAAGAACAACAATGGGAGTTTGTTAGTGACAGGACAGGGAGGGGGTTGTTTCAGGATTTTGTCAGAAGTCATGTCTAATTGCAGGATGTTTTTTTAATGAGTAGGCACATGTCCTTTTCCTCGATGGGAGGGCAAAGACAGCATGGGGAGATGTGAAGAACTCCAAGTGCAAATAGTGCTCTCAACAGCTGTCTGCTTCACATTCTCTGCTAGTGGCTTCTGAAAAACTTGTGTTTTGGTTACAAGCTGGAGCTGTAACCGTAGGGAACCATTTTGAGTGAAACTGTGTCATTTGTTGGATTCAGAGTGGGTATAATCTGTCCTAGTGCAAGGCTCAAACAGCAGATACTTAAAAGGCGATAACGTTGTTGACATGTTGGCCAGATGTTGCTGTGTACTCCTTACCATTTGTAGCTTAGCTGCATTTCCAGCACCTTTGATTGTCTTAAAGCTAGTCTGCCGTACATAAATGTATGATTGCCCGAATTTGGGAATAGAACTGAAATAAAACAAATCATAGCCCCGAGCTGTGGATCAGAAGAGTTGTTGCTTCTGCATTTTTCAGAAGGCACGCTGGCTGTGAAGGAGGTATATGAGTGTCAGAATGTCAGAAGTGTTGAGCCTGTTTCAGGTCTTCCTCCTGACCTTTTCCCCTCTAGGGAGCAGTCTTTTTTCTTTTAAAGAAAGTATATTTCTCATAACAGCTTAGAGAAGAATCAGTGGAAGTTTATGGAAAAGCAGTGCAGTATAAACATTTGGAGAAAAATTCATACACAGGTGTTTGAGTGGTGGGCAGTAGCATGCCTTAAGCTGTAGTTAAAAAGGTGTTATCTGTACGTTTGCAGCTGTGTGCTATGTAGGTCTGGTCTAACCTTTCCTTACTGCTGATGGTTTTTATTTTTATTTTTTTCAAGTCATTATCTTAATAGCACTTTCTAGTAAAGAATCAGGAAAATAAAATTGTATGAAACCACTGAAGTACTTGGACAATGGGAACATTGTCAGAAATCTGCAGTCTCGGCTTCTACTACCTGTCTGCCCACGTGTGACATTCGTTTGCTATATTCTTTGAACTCCTGGTGAACTTAACCACCAGAAACTGGTAGAAAGTGGCTGTGATTGAAATGGCCTTTCTGTGATGATAGATTTTTGACATGCTATTACTTTGTTCTGCATTTAGCAGATTCTTAGTATCATGAGGTGAGGGGAAAGAGGCTGGCCTAATGTGAGAAGAATGCTGGTCCTTATGCTTGCAGCAGACAATAAGTCATTTTATTTTATACTTTTCCTTTCCAGGTGTGACATCTGTTGTATTACCTTTCGTACTCATCGGGGCTTACTGCGCCACAATGCAGTTATCCATAAGCAGCTTCCCAGAGATCCCACTGGAAAGCCTTTCATTCAGAACAACCCTTCAATTCCAGCAGGCTTCCACGACTTGGGATTCACAGACTTCTCCTGTAGGAAGTTCCCCCGCATTTCTCAGGTACGCTTTGTTCTTAGGAGCTTGAGGTGCCCTCTGATACAGCGTGTATCTTCTGAATGTATTGAAAGCTTCGATCTGCCAGAGACAAGTCATGGGATATTTTGTGGAGCCCAGATTACTACTGTCTGCATAGGATTCAGTCACTTCCTTTTCCTAGTTTTCATTTTCCTTCTCCCTTTCCCTATCCCTTTCTGCTTTTTTTTTTTTCCCTTTTCCAAAGAACACTTGGCCTTTTTGAGTTTCAGGCGTGAAGATCTATAAAATTATTTTAAACAAAAATGTTGACAGTGTTATCCATGCCCCTCCTTCCCAGCCTTCCTCAAATAATTCCACATCTAATGCTACCTGGGTAGCATTTAAATATTTGAATATAGTATTTGGATTCACAACTGTTTTCAGGTATAAAATCTGTTTGTGAGTGTGCTGTTTTTCTTGGAAGAATAAATGTAATCAGACTCCCTAATCAAAAGTCTGACTGGTTTTGCCTCTGCATTTTATTTCTTTGATTTTGAGGGATGATGTTTTTGTTGTTTTTGTTGTTGTTTACCCTTCTTAGATGCTTTTTTTTTTTCCTTGTAGATTCTTTGTAGTAAAGGAGCCGAAGGAGGTAGTCTTACTGCCCGTCTTACTGAAGTTAGCTGGGTAGTCCTCTGAGGCTCCTGTCTTGTCAGTGAACAGAGAGAGGTTTCTGGAAGGGAGGATTAGAGTGGAAAAGTATTTTAGAGCCTGAATAACTCTGAAGAAATTTGCCTCTACAGAAAAGAACTTCTGGAGAGTCAGCCCCTAATCTAGATACACCAACTTAGGAGGCTGAAGGGCTTCTCTACTGCAGAAGAAGAGGGAGTGAAGGTGGTTTAGCTGTGCAGTAATAAGTGATTGCTTTCCAGTTTGTAGCTGTCTATTCTAAATGTTTTTGCATGTCTTGCAGGTCTGGTGTGAAACAAATTTGCGAAGGTGCATCAGTGAATTCCATCGGTTTATTTGTGAGACGTGTAACAAGGCATTCCCCATGCTTTCAGCGCTCAAACTGCACACAGAAACTCACGTGATGGATCAGGGAAGAGACAAGCACAAGCTACAGTCCACATCCCTACCCAGTGAGAACCCAGACCAGAAAGCCTTCATGGCATCCTTGGGCCTACAGTACACCAAAGACATCAAACCTGTCAAGCAGGAGGATGATACACAAGACGATGCCCAAGAAATGCGGCTCAGAGCACTGAAGAGTAACCTACCTCAGGAACCCGGCAGCACTGGCCTGCTCAGCCTCTCCCCTCTGGAAGCTGCCTCTATGGGAGGGCCATTTTCAGTCCTCCCACCTACAAAGGAGAACATAAAGCTCCTCTCGCTGCAGCCTTTCCAGAAGGGTTTTATCATCCAGCCTGACAGCAGTATTGTGGTAAAACCCATCTCCAATGAATCTGCAATTGAGTTGGCAGACATTCAGCAGATCTTGAAGATGGCTTCTTCCGCTCCTCCTCAGATCAGTCTTCCTCCACTTTCTAAGGCACCTTCTGTCCCCGTGCAGTCCATTTTCAAGCATATGCCACCATTGAAGCCAAAGCCTTTGGTAACGCCCCGAACAGTTGTCGCAACTTCTACACCTCCTCCTCTTATCAGTGCCCAGCAAGCCTCCCCCGGCTGCATTAGCCCAAGCCTCCCACCACCTCCTCTGAGGCTGATCAAGAACTCGGTGGAGACCTCCTCCAACTCTCACCTCTCGCAGCCAGGAGCCAAATCAAGTCCTTCCTCACAGTTGCTTCTCCAACCCAAAGTAGAGCCTTTAACTCAGCACGAGATGAAGACACAACTGGAGCAGGACAGCATTATTGAAGCTCTCCTGCCTCTGAATATGGAAGCGAAGATCAAGCAAGAGGTGACAGAAGGGGACCTCAAAGCCATCATTGCAGGGGCAGCAAACAAGAAAGCCCCAACAATGAGGAAAGTCTTGTACCCCTGCCGTTTCTGTGACCAGGTGTTTGCCTTCTCTGGTGTCCTGAGAGCTCATATCCGTTCTCACTTGGGTATTTCCCCATACCAGTGCAACATCTGTGACTACATTGCAGCTGACAAGGCAGCACTGATCCGGCACCTGCGGACACACAGCGGGGAGAGGCCTTACATTTGTAAAATCTGCCACTACCCGTTCACAGTTAAAGCCAACTGCGAGAGGCACCTGCGAAAGAAGCACCTCAAAGTGACCAGGAAGGATATAGAGAAGAACATTGAGTATGTCACCAGCAATGCCGCAGAGATGGTGGATGCCTTCTGTTCTCCAGACACTGTGTGCAAGATGTGTGGCGAGGATCTGAAGCATTATCGGGCCCTCCGCATCCACATGAGGACGCACAGTGGCTGCCAGAAGAAGAAGCCATTTGAGTGCAAGGAGTGTGGCACAGCCTTTTCAGCCAAGAGGAACTGCATTCACCATATCCTGAAGCAGCACTTGCATGTTCAGGAAAGGGAGATTGAGAATTACATCCTTGTGGTGGACTGCAGTGCTCAGGAGAGCCACGCAGATGCTCCTTTATTGGAAGACAGCACTTACATGGACTGCAAGCCCATCGCATCTTTCCTGGAGCCACAGAATGGTTTCTTGCTTGGGACACCATCTCATGTTCCCATCAAACTTGAACATACGGGCAACTTCCCGATGGATTTTGATGAGCCATTGGATTTCTCTCAGAAGAGCAAAAACCTGAGTGCTGTGCAAGTGAAGCAGGAGAACCTGTTTGTCTCTTCTCCCTTGTCCTTCTATGACTGTTCCATGGAGCCCATTGATCTATCCATCCCCAAAGTCCTGAAGAGGGACAATGATATCCCAGGTGAGACCAGGAATCAAGAGCTGGCTTCTTCTGTCATCATTGATAATGCCTATAACTGTCAGCAGTGTCCTCTGGGCTTTGGTGCCAATGGGAACTCAGAGAAAAACAGGGCTGTTGCACATCCCCAGCCACTGAAGGGTTCGTTGCATTTGACTGTCCCAATCATTTCCCCAGCTCTCCTTGGCAATTCTGCCTTGCTGAGACCCTTGAGGCCTAAACCATCACCGCAACCTCTCTTGCCAAAGCCTCCAGTAACTAAAGAGCTGCCACCGCTGGCTTCCATTGCACAGATCATTTCATCTGTGTCTTCTGCTCCTGCTTTGCTGAAAACAGAGGCTGCAGATGCCAGTCCCAAGGCAGCGAGCAGCTCCACTGGGTGCGACAAATCAGGGAATGCCAAAGCAAAAATGACAATCGTGACCGCCATTCCGAGAGACTCCAGCCTTCCCAGTGACCTGACTCAGGCCTGTGATCCCGAGCCGTCTCCCATTGCTGACACTGGGTTGACTAAGAAAAGGGGTAGAAAGAAAGGAACAAAAAACAAACCTAAACTGAGCAGCGGTGTGGATCTGGAGTCAAGCGGGGAGTTTGCCAGCATAGAGAAGATGCTGGCTACCACAGACACTAATAAATTTAGCCCGTTTCTACAGTCCACTGACAATTTCAAGGAAGAAAGCGGCCAAAATGGAACAAGTGAGGATGAGAAGGAAAGTGCTGAAGATAAGCTGCTGAGGGGGAAGAGGAACACTTACTCAGACTGCCCGCAAAAAATCTCCTGTCCTTACTGTCCTCGAGCCTTTTCGTGGGCAACTTCCCTACAGCGGCACATGCTCACTCACACAGGTAAGAGTGCCTTGTCCTTCAACTGGATTGTAGTACCTGAGTATTTTCCTCGCTGAAGGCACCTGAAGGCAAAGTCTCCCCATGCTGGAATCTTCCTTTCTCATCTTCCCTCTGATGTCCAAATCTTTTTTTTTTTTTTTTTTCTCTGTAAAGCTTCAGCTTTGCTGTTGCATTATGGTGGTGTTAATTTTTTTAGTAATGGAGTAATCTCTGTGGCTTTGAGTATCAAGAGGGCAAATTAAGCTGCCCATTTGACTTCAGTGGCGTTAACTTAGCATACATGGAAAAAGAATTTAGTTCCAGGTTTTCTATTCTTTCTGTCTCATCTTGACAGTGAACATGTGTTGAATATTTCGTTCTGCCTTACATGGTTTGTTTGGGGACTGTTTGTCAACTTCAGTAATGATAAAAATATGCCATAACAATAAGAGCAAATAAGTGTAAAACTGTGTCAGTGAAAGAAAATAATGTAGCATTTAGCATTTTTTTTTTCTTGTGATGGCTTTTGTTTGACAGAAAGAAGGAGGATGTGAGAAATAGCATCTTAGCATTATGTAGCAGTAGTTTCCCTCTAGGAAATGTTTCTTCTTATGTTAGACAACTGAAGGTGGGCTCATGCCCTGAGGCATGCAGTTACATATGGAACCTTTAATTTCGTGCCACTCTGCAAGTAACCTCAAACCTGGGGTAAACCAAAGGAGGAACTGAGGGGCGAGATTTATTCTGAGTTTGAAGTTCTTCATTCTTCATTGTGAAGGAAGGACTTCATTGATTGCTGTGTCAATCTAAAGTGAACTCCTTTTTCCACTCACGCTGTAATAGTTAGTAGGTTCTTACCCTGCTTGGAGTTGGAAAGGAAGAAACTCTGCTTCCTTTGCTCACTTTTAAGTCAGTGATAGTTGTTAATATCATTCTCCTCATTATGCAGTCTCAACTCCTGATGTAAGGAGTAAAAGCCAGGAAGATTTGTAAGAAATTTCTGGGAATTGAGTGCAGCCTCATAAGAGATAAGAGATTGATTCATTTATTTTTAAAGAATGAAGGGTTCATGAAGCACAAGATCCATTTTGATACTAAAGTGGAACCCCGAAGAGGTAGAGAGTTATCTAGGAGGTTCAAAGGGAATCTGAGTTGCAGAGCAGTCTCTCTTACAGTTTGCTTTGGGTGACGTGAGGACGTAACTTGAAGGTATCCGTGCAACAGTGAGGCTATTGTTTGCTGGGTGCACAGCCCAAATTCTATCATCTTATTAAGCGTACAGTTTGCTTTCAGCAGTGAAGGAGAGCTCTTTATTCATTTCAATTGTTTTCTAACACCCTGCTCTCCAAAAATAATATATAGTTACTGGGGAACTTTTCATGAGACAGAAAACAATACAGAGAGGCTTTGCCCAGACTGAGGGGGTTGACCTGCTTATTGATGGCAGGCTTCCAAGGTAGCAGTACTGCTGTAAACCCTTAATGAAGACAGGAAAATGCACTTCTGGTAAAACCTGTCTCCCCTGCTGTTGCTGGGCTTGGGAGGGGATGCCATCCTTTAGAAGGCCTGCACTGCTGTCCCCATGGGGAAAACAAGCCACTGCAGCAGGAGGTAGGTTGTGTCCTCAGTGCAGATCCAGGACTTTGGTGACGGCCACAGTAGTGGCACTGATGAGATTCAGGGTGTTGCACTCTGGCATTGCTCATAATGAGAGCCCTTTCTAATCATGATCAGAGCAGTATGGAGGGAGAGTTGGTGCTGGAGAATCACACCTCATCAGATTTGGGCCTTGGATCATCTCCTTTCAGGTGACACTGGTTCTCTGTTTCTCAGCTGAGAGTCCACAGCAGCGCCACTCTGACAGCAATGTACGTACAGCTTACAGGAGAGGAAAGGGAAAGGTAAGATGGGAGGACAGAGGAAGTTTAGACCAGGAAGAGGCCAAGATAAGCCCAGGTGAATGAGAAGAGTGTTCTGCTTCCAAACTGTCTGCGTTGGGAATCTGGTCTGTAGTGAATCAGGGAATGGCTTGGAGTGGAAAGGACCTCCAAGATCATCTAGTTCCAGCTCCCCTGCCATGGGCAGGGTTGCCAGGCACTAAATCAGATGCTAGATTAGGCTTCCCAAGGAAGGTTTCATAGAATCATGGCAGTGAAGCTGACCATGCTCCCAGATCACTGTAGTACGTTGCTGTCAGAAGAGTAGCACACTCACTTGAGCAAACTGGTGCAACTAGCTCTTTTCCATCCACTTGTATGGAAATTGCACATGGAAAAATGTGTCTGACTGAGGAAAAGGTACTTCATTTTGAGCATTTAAATGGTATAGATACTACCAGTTTTAAACCTCTGTCCGTTCACAGTCGTGAAAAGATTTTTGCAAGCATATCTTTCATGTTCAATAGAATTTCAACGTGAAGAACTTCTTCTGTGTAGTGTCAAGATGATTTTTGGTTTTTTGTGAAAGGGCACAAATGCACATGCTATGAGTAACCCATATCCTTCACACAGCCAAAAGCCTCTGATAAAAGCCTTCGTGCTGCTCAGTCTTGCCTCAACACTGCTGTGTGTTTTTCACTTCAGAAGCATTTCCCTGGGAAGTATACATCTTCTTCATTGCCTTTTATTGTAATGCAAAGCTCACAAGTGGGGCTCTGGGAATTTGGCACAGCTTGCTTTTAAACAGCGTTCAGCACTGTACCTGTGTTTTGTTTGAACATGCTTGAACACTTGCTTTTCATACTTTCTTTCTCTTGATGTTGTCTTATTTAATTTTCTCTTCTGTGTTCAACTCAGTTTACCTTTCTTTCCTGCTCTTCTCTCCAGCTCTTGACTTTTTTCATTCTCAGAGCAGCAAAGGAGATGTGCCCTGCAGATGATGCAGTTAATTTTTCTCCCTTTATGGTACATGAATCAAACGGGGTTCTATACAAAATGAAAATAATGGTCTGTGGCCATTAGTACAGATAACCTAGATGTGTTTGCAGAGAATCACTGGAGGGTGTTCTCAGAGAGATACTACCAGATCATATTTGTCCCAGCATTACTGTTTGTAAAAGATGAGATGCAGTGGCAATGGTGGTTGTTTTATGGTTTTTTCTGTATGTGTGATTTGGGTTATTTTGGGGGTTAGTTGTGTTGTGTGTGTGTGTGTGCGTGGTTTTTTTGTTTTATTTTTTGCAGATGAGCTGCTGCTTGTCAAGCATTCAGAATATCATGGAAATTAAAAGGATGGGAAGATATCTATAAACAACAGAAATTAATTAGTTAGTAGAATACAGTTATGCCTAACCTGTGAACCTGGGTGGATTTGATACAGATTATTGATAGGTAGATGTAAGTAGTAAAAAAGAGCTGGAAGGGGTTTTATTCCTCGCTTGTATGACTTGAGTGGAACTGTAGACATCTTTACTTTGCAGAGTTGGTCCTCACCACGAAAATAATGTGCTTCAACTGCCACAACAGTGGCAGGAGATACATTAATTAAGCAATGCTCTTTTGATGTACTATGCTTGCTTAGATGATCTTTTATTGCAAAAGAGAGTCTGTTCAAATGACTGGCTTCCGTGAAACGTGCAGCCTCAACTGGTCGTGCTGTGCTGCTGACTGAGCTTTGCAGTCAGTTCTGAGTCAGTACACAGCTGCAGATGTATTTTAATCCAAGCCATGATCGTTCACATGGAAATAAATAAATAAAATTGTGTTTAAACCATAACTGCCTGGGTGACCCTCCAGTGAGTAAGCACGTTTCATCTGAAGAGCAGGTGCCTCTGAGGGACAATATGGGAAGCAAGGAATACTGCTCGTTTGAATTACATAAATTATATAAAAATTATATTAAAAGATGGCATTTGTGTAAAGCAGTCCAGTTTCTATTGGGAATGGGACTGTAACTTGGGGTGGGGAAATTGGAGTTTGCGCAGTAAGCAGGATTTTTGTTTGAGTTTTGAGACCTCCAAATAGGATGTTTGTGTGGGAAGATCTGTTGTAGATACTGGTCTGTATGACAAATATTTGGTTGATAGAAAAGCTTTAAAATCTGAAGATATGAGAAAATTGTGACCTGAGATTCAGGTTGAGTTTCAAGCAATTAATCCCCAGCTAATCCTGTCATTGCACGCTTGAAAAGAAATGTGAAAAGAATTAGGCTATCGTGAAGCAAAAAGATTTCTGCTGAACTTTGAAGTTCTGTTTTGTATTTGCATTGTGAAAGAAGCCAAATAAAAGTGCAGAAAGTGGTATTTGTAGCCATAAATTTCTGGTTGATTTAGCAGGCATCTAAAAAGAAAAAGTGAGTAACTTGAAAGCCTACAAAAATCAGTGTCTTGATGCTTCTAAAATGTTGTGTTGACACAGTGAAGAGAAAGAAATAACTGAAGTGAAACATATCTGCGAGATGCGGGGAGTCCCTCGTTTAGGTTGAGGTGTTAATTAGAACTGAACCAAGTTGTGGCAGATGAAAGTGAGGGAAGTACCTACAGTATGGGATCAGAGAAAGGCTGTGAGTCTGGGGCATTGTGTGTGTGTGTGTGTGTGTGTGCAGGGGGTTTGGATGTGAGGGAGAAGGTGTGACAGGAGCTGTGGTCTCCTTTGATTTGTAATTTCCTCCTCCATCACAGAGACATCTTGTGAAGCCACTTTCCTCATTCCAGTGCATGAGCCTGGCTTCCTGCTCTTCTTGTATGTGGCCTTTTCCCTTCTTTTAGTCGTTAAAATGAATTACAGAGATGAAAAACTTTCTCCTGCGGGGAATTAATTGGACCTTACATAGAACTTTATACAACTGAAGTCTATGGGATCAAGCGCCCAGTGGCTTTGATGGAAGTTTTGTCAAATTCAAACACATATATCTCAGGATAACATCTTGTAGAGGAGCTTGCAACAAGGATGTTGTTGTAAGTCACCTTTGACTAGGGAAATTAGGGTTCTTTTCCACTGAAACAGATTTGGTTCTGACAGGCTGGTCTCAGAGATTACTGACAGGGTGACCTGAGAATGAAAGGGAGAGTGAAAACATTAAAG